TGTTTCCTGTTTTTGGGACCCTTCTAGAAACGATAAAACATTATTTGTACTTATTTTTTTTTAAATAAATAATAGTGAAATCCACCAAAGTTGTGTGTATTGTGTTTTTTGTTGTGCTATTGTTTTTCGGGTTTCGCGCGTCTCTATCCCTTGGTGTCACATTTTTGGCTCAAATTGAATTTGAACGCCGACCCGTTGTTTTAAGGAATGGAGAATGCAATTAGTTAGCTGCTAAGTGAAATGGGAACTGATTTGCATTTCGTGAATAACTTCGTCGAGCCATGATCATTGATCGAAAACTATGGGTTTGATCGAAAAATTTTCTAATTTTGTTGTTTGGAGTATGAAATTTTCTAGTATGATATGCACGCTTTGGAATTTAAGAATTATATTCAAAAGCAGAATGCATGAAATTTGGAAACCCAGGCAAATTTTCATCGCTTTGCAATTTCTTCTTTATCGTCACACGAACCCAAAACTCACTTTACGGAATCTATGCTATATCATTTATTGTCGCTCATCAACTCGTTGGCTCGCTATTGTGAAAGTTATGAATAATTCATCTAGTCCATGAGGTTCACCGAAGAAAATTCGAATAATTTCTGCTCAACGATCCACCACAGAGGAAAATGAGGCACAAAATGATGGAACGTCATGTTGTTTGATGAGTGACTACTCAAGTTGCATAGTTAGTACGCACGCATAATAAAAAGCTTGAATTAATTCGAAATTATTTTTTACGGTGAGAAAATGTTACTCACTCACCATTCAGAGTTCAGTCTAGAAAAAAATGCGAAACTTTTTATAAAGGATATTCAAACCCGGTCGTCAATACATTCATTCATACATGTCTGAATTATTTATAATCGTTTGTTTCCAGCAAAGGTGTCTTCAAATATGAGTGATTCGCCGTCCATCTGTCCTTTTTGCACAAGCCATTGTTGTACCCTTTTTTTGCTTTCTTCATCTTTTTTGGGAGCAAAATGCGATTAACCATCCAAATCGCATCACTATTTTATTGGGTGGTGGATGAAGCGCGAAATACTTGCCGAAAAATATGGGGGTTTTTGAAACCTTAGAAGAAGTTATTATGATTAATGAAGGAATTGAAAGAAATTGAAAATATTGAAAGACGTAAATAACTATTGTGTCCACTTCTCACGTCGTGAAATTCTCGTCCCAAAAACAAAGAACTTGTCTCGATCCATCCTACATTTTTCAATTGAAGCACTTGTACGCCCAAAGATGTGAAGTTCAAGTTGCCAATATTGATATTCCAACAAGAAATTGGGCGTCGCGGCTGTTTTCCAGAAAAAAAAGAAAGGGGCAAGATCATGTTACAATTGGATACAATGTTGTGAATTAGATAAGTCTTTTTTGGATATGTATGTAAGATGAGAAAATGAGAGTGAGTATGTGTGTGTTCTTGTGTCCTTCATGTCTCACTTCTTGAGGGGTTTTAGCCTTAACTATCTTTTTTTGACCACATTCGCCAGGCTCCATCATTCTGACAGCTCATTTGCTTCTCCTTTCTTATTACACTTTTACCCCCTCATTTTCCGCAGCCGATTTATGTACAGTCTGGCCTATGTGAGAATCAAAACATAGGCGAAGCAGGTAATTGCGAATTCACAGAGGGCTTGAAAAATTATTAATAATGCAAGGAGTCCTACATATCAAGCTGGCGAAACCCTGAAATACCTTTTACATATATTTAAATATTATTATACATAGTTGGTTGAAGGTAAGTGTACCCTAAAAATAGAAGAACGCCACGCCCATGATGCATTAGCCAACATACTACATATAGATATTTTTCGAAGGATAACAATGTTTTGGAAGATTTTTTGCAAGAGAACCGCGTGCCACGAGAAACATTCCGAAATTTTGAAACTTTCCTCCCATTTAAACTTTACAAATCAATCCTAGGATCATATTACGCTTCCATGTTCCTGACGTCTTTGTAATGTTATCATCAGTGTGTACGGATTGGAAGAGATACATATGTACTCATCACTTTAATTTTTTCCGCAAATCTGCTCCGTCGTTTCATTAAACTACTGCCGGCGTCTTGTGATCTAAAGCTGAGCAGTAATAATTCAGGCTCTCGATCCTTATATGTACATCAAACAACATTGTCTTTGCTCTTTCACTCATACGTACTCAATTTTTTTCTCTTTTTCTGGCTTGCAACAAATTTCCCATCATCATCGAATTCATCCATTCATCCCCTATTCATTCTATTAGGTTATTTTTTTATACTTTTCTTTTTTTTCATTTCATTGGTCACCCAGACAAAACACTTTGGCGAAAGAAATAACACATAACACCACAATCGCCCGGACCGAAAATGTTAATTTTTTGCCGAACATTGGTGCATTGGCGTTAACGTTTGACGTTGGATTCTTACGGTCGCCATTGCCCCAAGGCGGATATTTGGAAATGAAGGTTAAACCAACTAATGAACTCATAAAAAATCAACGATTGAGTGGGGGAGATTGGATTGGAAGTAGAATTCTCGCCTGATTTCCGGTGCATGGGAATATGAAAATTGCTTAGATACGGTACCGCATTTCCCCCCCCCTTCATTTTTTTCCGTGCGCCACCGCGGAGCTCAATTTTCAATGAATACCACTGTTGAATCCCGAAAACATATGTTTTTACATATGTATATAAAAACTACGCAATGTTTTGTTTATTCGATAATTTGAATATATTACTTATTTGTCTAGTATCAATTTTGGAAATCGAAAAAGACCAGGAACTTTTAGAAACAAGTAGAAAAATGTGGTGGTGTTTGGAGCTCTTGAAATTTGGCACCAACAAAAAGAGCTCATTAGGTCACACAAGTTTAGAGTTTGTCTTATGTGCTTCGATTCGACAACGCAACAATTTTTCCATGAAATTTTAATTGCAAAAATTTAACCCACAGTCATTGTAAACGAATGGCTTCTATTGTCTTCCTCATTAATATTAACTGAACAATTTTCGATCTACCAAATAATATTTATAATTAATTCGAAATTTTTGCCAAAATGATTTGATTCGAACTCCAGAAAAATAAAACAAGAAGATAACATTAAACGTGTTCGTCTAGTGTTAATGCACCGGAACTAAATACTAAAGGCATCGGAAGGAAATTCCCCATTAATCAGCGCTAAATCGCCTAGAATTTATTCTTAAAAAAAAAAGAGAAAAGCAACTTTATTCCTATTCGATTTTGTGTTCGATTGACTCGCCCGAATAGCCAAAAAACTTATTCGACCCTGTTGAAATCATTCGGACTGCGAGGAAACGCGTTAATCACTTACTCGACTCTGCTCTTCCCGATCCTTGTTTGCTCTTTTTTTGTTTCGAAACACGTTATCCTTCGATTCGTTGTTTAATATTTAATTCTTCTTGGAGTTCATATAATTGATTCTGCATATTCCGCAAAGAGGCCGATGAATGAAAATGACCCGTTTAAGGTAAGGCATAATTCATTTCAAACAAACTGGTGGGAGGAAGCTCATATAAAATGGAATTGTTAAATATATGCATACGTGCATAACAATTCAAAAAGAATTCCATTGAATGTAGTACTCAACGTTTATGAAAAAATTGTTTATGAATAAACACATATTGTCGCTCTATGCCGAAAAAAACAGCATGTATGCTATTCAACAAATGGTAGGTCAAAATTTAAAATGTCTGAAAATCACATAGAAATCATTTTGACGCAGCAAATGTTTTATACATGTATCTCGATTATCGATGAATGTATTAGTAGCTTGATCATTTTTTTTTTATATTTCACCCCCGCAGTTCAAAATTCCCACAGATATTCAAATTTTTAATGTGTCAGGCGACACATCCAATGTTATTACTATTATTATTAAAAGACCAATTCTTCCTACAACTAGCATAATTTTTTTAAACGTCAAGAACATGCATTACTTTTCCTCCTCCTTCACATTTCGAAAAAAAAAAACAATATTCCGGGGTTTACTTTGAATGGTTTTTTTAACAAATAATTCTAGACTAAAAGCCACATCTCAATTTCCGATTTTCTTTCAATTTCCTATATGATGTGATGTGTCATACCGTTTTTGAATCCCTAAATCAGGCTAATACATTTTTCCGACTTCGACAAATTGCCCCTAATTAGTCGCCAATTACTTTTTTGGCGAAGCTTCGAGAAGATGTGACTCGATTTCACGAAGATCCTAGACTGCGTCAAAAAAATATGCATATGATCGAAAAGAAGGTAGTAAAAAATTGCAATGCTCCTTTATTTTTGAAAATGTCGCGAAAAAACAAGGTTCTCTAGCATATTGCACATTGTCATCTTATGCATATTTACCTTTTTAAATTATATCTTTATTTATTTCTACTTTTTTAATGCCTTAAGTATATCGCGTAGTAGGAATTCAGAAAAAAACATGCTCAAGCTTATTTTTTTTTATCTTGAATGAATTATTTGTGCGGTTTCCTTTTTTTTTGATTTTTTTCTCCAATGGAATTTATTATGAAATTTTGAAAGACAGGAAATTAAAGTCGAAACCAAAATTCATTCAAAAATTTGACATTCATCATTTTGGTTGTGCTTCGAAATTGTCGGGTTAATTTGTGAGCCTTGAGCCCTATTAGGTATGCAATTTCCCAATTATGTCCTATTTCAGTTTACGCCTTGAAATTGCGTGTATTGAGAAATAATATCGAGAGGGAAACATTAAATAATCCTCATATGGTTTTATATTTATTATAAGAAATATAATAAAAGTGCGAGGGGAGGGAGGAGGGGTGAGGGAGGTCCCGACGGCGCTCGGCGCCACCCTTTTTTATTTTGACAATTGATTTGGAGTGGGTTGGGCTCTGAAGATAATATAAAATAGAGTTGGCGTGCTCTTTGGAGTTTTTCTTTTTTTTTGTCCCCAATCCGACATGCAAAGGCATTTGACCCCAAACTAATTAATTGACTATGGTCTCGAAAATTTTAAAGATTTGCCGAATTACAGGAAATGGTCCTCAGAGCCATTGATTCGATTCGTGGTAGTGTCATCAATGCCTCGGTAGCGACAACCACACCAATGGCAAACATTGCGGTACCATCAATGAAATCTTCCACTGTGATACCAACTGTCGAATTGGTACTAGGCACTATTACGTATTTGGTATGTTTTATAAACTTCCGTTCTTCTATTCTTATGTTTTATTGAAAGTTAATTAATTTAAAAACTTTTAAACTTTATGAACTTATTGGTTAAAAGGTGAAAACATCATTTTGCAAATGACATACAAAAAATATACTTGAATTTAAGTATAAAATATTATTTTCTTGTTAAGAACGGAAACGCAGAGTGAATGACGCAACTGTCAAAAATTGAATGACATTTTTCGATGTGCCCAATATTCCAAATATAGAGTACATCACATTTAGATTGACAAGAGCAAAGACTAAAACTAAAGTAAATTGAGAATGTTATTCTTTTTAAGGTTATCATTGCTATGACAGTGGTTGGTAACACGTTGGTCGTCGTTGCTGTTTTCAGCTATCGCCCGCTGAAAAAAGTCCAAAATTACTTCTTAGTGTCGCTGGCTGCATCAGATCTGGCGGTGTCAATATTTGTAATGCCTTTACACGTCGTCACGTTTCTCGCAGGTCAGTTCAATTCTGGCGAGTATAATCTCTCAAATGAGGAAAAAAAGTGGGCAGAGGTCTCCAATTCTAAAAATAGGGACCACTTACTTCCGTCACACTGAATTAACATAAGTGAAGAACGCGGACAATATTTATTTATGCTGACAATTTGTAGGGCGCAAAATTTGAAATTTTTGATCACTTTCTTGGATGACGTGCGCTGGAATTTCAGCCAATTTCCGTTTTCTGTCTCTACAATTTATTTCGCTAGCACTCATTCACATGCGTTTAGTTTGACATGAAGAAGTAGTATAATGATTTGACTCGAATTTCCGGTATCATGTCAACCCGAATCATAGGTTCTTGCAAACTTTTCCGGGCCCTCCGTAAAACAAAACCCCATCTGCTGCTCAAATAATTTTTCGTCATTGACTGCAACTCACACACAAGACGAAAATTGACTGAGGAAAGCGCGGAGGCGAAAACAGGCGTGCGGGCTGGGATTGACTCTAGCGAAGCAAACTTGTTGAATCCTACATTTAGTGGCACAATCAGAGCAATTAGCTTGCATAGGCGATTTCTCGCAAAGATGGAGAAAGAGACGGTTCCAATGAAACGCGCCGTCGCGTGAATATTTGAGATTGGCTCAATTTAAAGAAAGAAACAAGTAACCGACGAGGGACGTGATCGCAAAATTGGACCAATTTTATACAAAAAAAAATATCCGAGAAGCCATGATGTTGCATACGTTTTGATGGGGGGGTCGTCAAGTTTTCTCAAGGTCGTTTCTGTCAAAAATGTTCAATTTTGTTGCACTAAGAAGGGCAAATTTAAAACGACTATTATCTTGGTTTTCAAGGAAATTGGAAATTTGCGCGAGATTTGAAATATCAAAGAGAAAAGCAGTGCAAATACCTGAAATATAGGCAAGGAACCTATAGGACATGTCTTCGTTCAACAATGTTGGATTGACGTGAAAAATTGAGAAGAACATCAGTGATGTTTTGGTTAAGCTTGATTATTGTAGTTGTCGAATAATTCCCAGACATCCAAAATACAAATGTGTTTCTTAAAATGATATTCATCCAACTGGTGGATGGCATCACCGCAATTTCTAGACTAAATTCCTGATTTTCACTCCAATTATTTAACGCTTCAAATTTAGGGGGCAAATGGTTACTCGGAGCTGTCGTTTGCCAATTCTTCACTACTGCCGACATTTTACTGTGCACCTCATCAATCTTGAACCTTTGCGCGATAGCCTTAGACAGGTAAAAAAAATGACGAATCTTTCATAAAGAAGTTCCACTAAAAAATTCTTATGAATTTTTAATAATAAAAGCATTTGAACGATAAGAAAGAAAAAATAGTGATATCGAAATGACTAAAAATAACCTAAAACCAAAACATTGAGGTAAAATGCAAATGAGTACGAGGGATGAAAGCAAAAATTAGTGTTTTTTGCAGGTATTGGGCGATTCATGATCCTATCAATTATGCGCAAAAGCGAACTCCAAAATTCGTTTGCGTCATCATTGTGGTGGTAAGTAATGTCACTTTCTTTTATTCGCCGATGGGGACCTCATTCATACCTACTTGCGTGACATTGAACAATTATCCAAATATATTGGTGTCAAATTTCAGGTGTGGATTCTGTCGATTTTCATCTCAGTCCCCCCGATCATTGGTTGGAACAATTGGAGCTTGCAAACGCTCAATGATAGCTGTAGCCTCTCAACGGAAAAGTTGCCGAACTGCTCGCAAATATTCTCATTCCAATTTTAATACATTTAGAGCATTTGTCGTGTTTTCGGCGGCCGGATCATTTTTTCTTCCATTATTGGTGATGGTGGTGGTGTACGTGAAAATCTTCCTAAGCGCACGTCAGCGAATCCGCACGAATCGAGGTAAATTGCTGGGCTTTCTGCAGCGGGCTGCTCACCAGAAAGAGCTCTGATCACAAACTTTCGAGAAACAATAGAACAATGGAAAGAGAGGGGGACGATAACTGAATTTGCATCTTCTCTATATACATATGTTTATTTATGTTTGTTTTGACAAGTTTTTGGAGGGAATTTTAGTTGAGAAATGATTGAAATGGTGACAAAATTTTGTTTTATTTGAAAAAAAACTTGATAGACATGTGTCAAAATTGATAAAATTGTCATTCACGGAAGAATTAAAAAAAATCATGAAATTCAAGAAATTCAGAAAGAGTATATATTGAAGGGATCAAGTGTCATCTTGAGAAAAATGTTAAATTTTATTTAAATAATTATACGTCCAAAAATTATACAAATTGAAATTATTTTTTCGATCCACTACGTGATTATTGGAAATGAGACAATTTTAAAGCTTTAAAATAATTTTAGGTCGAAGTGCCCTGATGAGAATCCAAAACGCTGAAGGTGACGATGACCGGAAAATGTCTATTAAACGCGGATCCGTGGAATCCGCTAGAACATCGAGTCGGGTAGGAGAGAAGACTCCACTGGTGATTGCCGATAAACATACAACGGTCACGACTATCGCCATCCCGTCTGTTAGTATCCAACACAAACTATATTTTTGTTCGATTTTAGTTAATTTTAGTCAGTTTTCACTATCTTTTATTATTACTATTATTTATTTTGCAAGCTTTTATTAACGGCTTTCTGTATTTCACTTTCACTATGTGTTAGAGACTAACAGTTTGATGCGTTTCGAGACCGTTTCCTTCGGCTTTTTCACCAATTTTTTTTTACTTTTCTTTTATTAAATGTTCAGACGGATGGCGGAAGAGACGAGACAACCAAGCATATGAAATATCATAATAATGGGTCCTGCAAGGTGAAAGCAAAGGATTTGAAACCTGAGGATGACGAAGTACTTTTTAAAGCTTTTTTCTTTTTTTTTTTTGAAATATGAATATTCACACTGCACAAAATTATTATTGCTAGAAAGCTGTAAAAATCTTGCTTATTTTCAGAATCCTACAACAGTTTTAAGGAAACGCGAGAAGATTAGTGTTGCAAAAGAAAAACGAGCAGCAAAAACCATAGCAGTTATTATTTTTGTATTCTCGTTTTGCTGGCTGCCATTCTTCTGCTCGTATTTGATACGTCCATTCTGCTCTTGGTGCAATATTAATCCAAAGGTATGTGACTTATTCGGAAAGAGAAATATTTGTTGACACCAAAATTTGGTATTAGCTCCCTATGACACTTTTGATATCTCTCTCTCTCTCTCTCTACCTCTTTCTCTGTACAAAACTTGCTAAATTTTGCACCAAATCCATTATGGTACCCCACTGTGCTATTACAACGATTAGTTCGCGACATGTGCCAAGTCCGACGTACAATTTATTCACTCTTCCAAATCATTCACATGTGTGCTAGTTGAAGGGTACTAAACCGCACAGCAGGCGGTATCAACATGATATCTTTTTTATCCATCGGATACACTTTTTGTAGATCGATCAAGCATTCACCTGGCTCGGATATATCAACTCCTCGCTGAACCCTTTTCTCTATGGAATTTTGAACTTGGAATTCCGTCGAGCTTTCAAGAAGATACTATGCCCAAAAACGGTATTGGAACAGAGAAGAAGACGCTTGAGCGCGCAACCATGAATAATCCAAATGAACTAATATAGCAGATAATTGCCAATGCTTCTACCGGTCGTATCAATTGTAAATAATTCTAGTTTATATTAAGAATAAACTTCGAATAATTGGGATTTTGATGGGAACTGTCGGAAACACTTTAAAAGGAATCTCTCATAAGGAAAATCATAATTGGACTTTTCTTGCATTTTCTAAAAATTTGTATTGAAAATGATCGATCGATGGTACTGGAATTTATGAACTTGGGTGTTCTTTGATAATTATAATAATTCAAGTAAAAATATTGTAAAAACATCGCTTTAAGAAATTTTGTTCAGATTACAGTTAGCATCCTCTCTCTTCTAGATTTTTTTTCGAATAAAATTTATATTTGCTCGTATGCGACAGACCCAATATTTACAAGTTTAAAATCAAATTCGAAATTGTTTGCTGTTTTCGTTTCGATTTGTATTTTTTTAAACTCCGACGCTAACTGTTAATAATTTAAAATCCATTGTTTTTCGAGCAAATAGTTAAAAAAAATTCAAGCCCAAATTTTAAGGCTATTGTGAAATACAAAACTTTTATCAACAATTATTTTCACGCGTTGATTTCTGTTATAGATAAATTTTGACTTTTTAAAAATTTTCTTTTTCCATTTTCTTCGTCAATTTACATTCGAGGTCCCTTCTTTGCCAATAATCGAAAGTTTGCAACTGGTTTCAAATTTCCAATCGGCCAACATCTGGTCAGAACCCGCCGCTTTAAAATTTATGTCTCTTTGTTTGCATTGACTAGTGACACATGTTAAGATTTTATTATCAAAAAAAGTAATTAAGCAATTTGAAATTCAAACAAAGTCTGATACAATCTTTTCGTCCGATTTATTAATATCATATTCATAGGTGGATCGTTAATTAGATAATAATTACTATTAATGCCAGGAACTTTCATGATTTATGAGCATCGATGGAAGAGATTACAGATTCTTTGATGTTGTCGCAATGTGCTAAATATACATTGCGTGATAATATCTGATCCGAAGATTGGTTGACATTACGGGCGTAAATCGCAACATTTTGACGATACGCAATTTAAACTTTAACTATAGCTAGTTTTCTGTCAAGTAGCCCATTTTTAAGGCACATTGTTGATATTAGCTATTTTGGAAAGTGCTAAATGTTACAAAAGGAAAAAGTTTAACAGAATGACTGAAAAAAATAGATTTTTAATAGATCCCCCCCCCACTCATATTATTCTCACTTGTCTGGCGGATTAAATTTCCATACTATTAAAAATGTATTCACAGCCTATTTTCATTCATTATTCATTCCTCCTTCAATTTCAATGAGAAGAAAAAAAGTGAAAATCGCCACCGTCATTGCAGTTTTGGATTGAGAGCACTCCTCATCAATTCGGTGTCATCTCACCGAAAACTACAAAGACGGTTGGATTTTCGCGGAATATGGATTGCGGTTGTGAATAGCGCGATTTCAAATAACATCTATTGAAAACTCGAATCAATGCATGTATGTCGCCCGAAACGTCTAATTAGTGTTTTGTAAAGGAAAACTAAATGGCATGATACATAATTTGTGGGTTTAGGAAAGCCTTTCATTACTCGAAGATATTTGCGGGGTGAATTAAAAGAATTTGGTCGAGTACATGGAAAACATTTTTGTTTATTTGTCAGCCAAATAGAAATGCCTACTTCTGAATATGAAAGCATACGAAGAACTATGTGATTAGAGAGTGTTAGACACCGAAAATCAGGACAGCGGAATTTGATGTTAAACCTGGAATTTGGTACCTCTAATCAACAAAATTTCTTCGAACCAAGCAAATTCCACCTGACATTCTCTTACGTTTACATTCCAAACGTTTTATTGAAATCGGATTGCAATATAAACCCTTATCAACATTTTTATCAATTTCAATATTCGCCAATCTAGCAAAAAATTTCAATGAAACAAATAATTCTCCGAAACTGAAACGACACCCTTCACGAGTGTCACACGATTCAGCCCCAACATGAAAAATGTTTACGAAAATCTATTTCGGGAGAAATATGTAATCGAAATTGAAAAAATTTTTTCTCTGCAAAAATTTTCCGATTAATTTACCGAGCCCATGGCTAAGGTGTTGGTTGTATATATGTACCAGAAGGTATCAGTTCTGTTCATCTTTTAATTAAAAACGTCGACGACCTCTTCTCGCCTTCATATATCTGATACTTTCGAATCGTTAAAGCCCATTAAACAATCGACCATGAATGTTGTTGATGATGGAAAAATAGATAGCAAGAAAGGTTGTAACAAAAGATGTTGGATTACAATGCCCAACAATGCGCCGATCCAAAACAATAGACGCTGAAACAATACGAAAAAACATTTCAATTTCTCCATCCATTAAAACACATTTTTTTATTTATTAAATGAAATTGCAAGAGGCACGGTGTAATGTGTATGTTCGTACACTTATTTTGTTAACCTCTCGAGAAAAACATTGATGAACAATTTATCCAGCTCTCGGAGCTTATCGTAGTGAAAAAGAAATGAAAGTTGAGAATTGCCTATTGTCCACGCGAATTTTATAGGCGCTCGTAAAAATATGAGGAAATGATAAAAATTTTATTTTAGCCCGATTGCTACAATTTTAGCGACTTCCAGCTAAATATTACATTCACTTTTAATTCAGACTTCGTCAATAATAGTTTAGGACTCCGATTTGGTCTTGATCATGAATCATTTACGTGGAAAATTCGATAATATCATCAAGGGATTGATATCAAAAGTTTTGAGTGTTTGAATCGAATCGCAAAACATTGTTTTCGTCAGCATTCTCTCCTACCAACCATCTCGTCTCGACCAATTCATCACCATCTTCTTTTCTTCTTCATCTACAGCTGTCCTTGAAATTCGAAAACTTCGATACCATAGCGATGCAAACGCACGAATACACTCACACACACAGAACGGAGGAATTTTTCAAAAAAGCTTGATGAACAACCTTGGAATGTTGCGACCTCAAGGATATGTTGTGTTTCATTAATTAATTGGGAACAATCGAGTTTTCAGCAACGCCCAAAAATTAGATAATTTGAGTGAGTTCGGGGAAAAATTTCTAGATTTTCTTGCATTTAAAAAACCTACAAATTTTTTATAATATTGGAAAACTATTTTATCATGTTCAAATTTTACGATCAGTCAATAAAAACCGCCTGACCAGTTTATCGTATTATCGTATTTATCGTACACTACACTAAAACTAGGAGGACTTATTTACAAAGTTGATGATTTTTTAAACGAGAATTTTATTGACAGAATCTTTTACGGATTTCGCAATCTATTATATTTTTGCACTCCTTAAACTCAAACGAATTTTTAAATCAAAAAGTCTTCAGATTTCAAGTGATGTCCTCCTCAAGTTTAAATGATTCTTCTCTCAATTTAACGATTTCTTCATTCAGATTGAACGTGAGAAATCGGGTGTTTTTTTTTTATCTGCATCTATCAAGTTGAAATCAGTTCCTTTCTGATTCTGTTAATATATCCCAGGGGTTCAGTTGTTCCCATTATACTACTCCGTTTCTATTTAGATCGTTGTGTTTATTAGAAATGTATGAGTTTCCTGATCATTTGTTTTGAGTTGGGTTAGAAAAATGAGCTTGCCAAGAACCTTCCCAATTCGCTTTAGTGTCATAGTTCCATGTCAACTGCGGACAATGACGCCAGGGAAATGGGAAGTTTCAGGCCGCTATCGAATATTAGTTGGTAGTGGCGAGGGGTACAGTAGAGTTGAAGACTGCTGCAGTCGGAATAGTGAATAGTGACCATCAGGGCCGCGTATTTATACTATTGAAAACGGGGCGTGGCCAAGTAGCGCACAATGTGCATTACACCCATTTCAGGGGAGGCTGGCCCGGCATGCCTATAGCAACACCGTCTAACCTGCGATATGGTAGGACAGACTGAGCATGGCGTAGAGAAGACGAAAAGAAGCGGCGCCGCCCGTTCTCACTTTTTTGTGCGCTTGCGAGCGTCTGTGTCGACATTCGTCGAAGAAATAGTTTGCGTGTGGCTGAGCGCACGATAGATGAATGCGAAAAATTGGCGGGCGCGCGCCTCGTCCCACCTCCTCCCCCGTGGCCCCCGGGTCGCCGCTGCCGCCGCGCCGTCGTCGTCCTCGTCAAAAATGTTGCGAACCAGAGACGCGAAAATGGGCAAGAGTATAAAGAGGCGCGAAGAGACGACGGAGAACGCGAGCGCGTTTTAACCACCATTCGGGCCCCCATCGCAAACATTCCATCTCCTATCTCTCACCACGGGTTTTTTTGTGCCGTTTAGAATATGTTGTGGTAGCTGATGCCCCTCTCGGCTTCTCTCGCTGGAGCGCCGTCACCGTTGTCAACGCTATTTCGCCGACGCGGCCTCGCGCGCGCCTTGTTGCTGGTTTCGATTCCTGTGTCTCTTGTGTCTTCAGCGGGAAGCAATGAGAGAAGCGTGTGAGTGTGAGAATGACAGACGGAAAAAAAATGTTGCGTTTTGCGACAAGTGGGAATGGCAAGCAGGGTGTGTTCAAATTGCAACATGATGTGGTATTAAGAAACTGGAATCCGATCGAAACGAAATTTGTTCGCGATTGGAATGCGTATGCTGGTTTTGGAGGGAGAAAATAACGGTTCGGCGGATTTTTTTTGTCTAGATATTTGAGACGATGTGGGTGTGGATATTTATTGCAACAACTACAATAAAAAATGAATATCGCAACATATTGGATATTGTATTTGGAGAAAATCTAATCTAAACCAATCCCAGGAAATCAAACTTTAATTGTATACTGAATCTTATTATTAGAATAGGAAGTTATGTACTCGGCGGGATTAATAACATCGTGATAGTGGATAATCGAATCATGGCAGGTAAATTGAATTTGGTCCGGTTACGGCTGTGAATTGGGTTATTGAGTGTTTTATTTTAACGTAATCAATTTCCTATGTTTGTACCCAACATCAAAGGAAATTTTCT